AAAAAAAAAAAAAAAAACTGATCAAATAAGCTTTTTACGAAACAAGTTAATTAGCTGATTTGAAGGGCCAAAACAGGCCAGGATCTTATGCAATTCACAAGAATCGTGTTGTTTCATCGAGAGTCTATGCAATGCAAGCTTGTGTTCATGACTTATGCCTATTGCCTTGTTGTGTTAGGAAATAGTCGACCAGTTTAATTGATTGTACCACATGATTATCACCATACCAAATTGTACCTTGACGAATGACATCATCCCGCACATATTAACCAACATCCAAGCTAGAAGAAGGGGGTTTTTGTGGGGCAATATACCAAATATACTCTTGAAGTTAAAGTATGTATTCGAACTTTGATGTCCGATTCTGTATTTTACTTACGACAATCAATGGAATTGTTTCTTCTTGAAAGTAAAATCTAACAAAAATATTTGACGATTTATTAAAACTTGAACTCGTTTGCCGATAAATCTTTTATAGTGAAATTGCTCGAAAGTAATGGTATCCGTATGAAGTTGTATTGACCATTAGGTTCTTTTTTGCAACAATCAGTGACTTTTACACCATCCACAGTATAATCGGTTTTCATGCAATCTTGAAGGCATGAAGACCACAAAAACATACTTAAACACCACAATAATCTTGAAGGTTAAAAGTATCCTTGTCTTCTGCATTCGATTAGGCACCTTACATTATTATTTACCTTTCCGTATAAAGTAAATAATCTTGGGATATATGATTCGATTAGTCCATCACTAAAAGCTTTTGGATCGACATCGTACAAAGTAGTGGCCACCTATGGAGAAATGGTAAGTCACATTTTGGATCGTTTGGATCAGGCGATCAATATTAATCGAAAAATGGTAGCATTATGTTAAAAAGTTTGCGAAATCTTGCAGCGATGGGATGTACTTATTATTTTAACAATAATACAGTATTTATTTTTTTAAACAAAAGTATATATTTAAACGTAAAATATCATAATTTTATCAATGGCGATTTGCTTTCTAAGTTAGGAATCGGAGTGTCGACGGGGAGAGACCACTAGAGTGTTGTTTTGAATGTTGATTCGATTCATAGTTCGCGATCTGCATGTTTATATCAGATTTGTGGTTCGGAGCGTTTGAGATGCGCTGTTCGATTTGAAATCTTTGGTAGACCGATAACTCTTGGTGGATCGATAAGCCATAGACATCAAAATGAATGAAAAAAGATTGTGAAGAAATCAGTGGAGGAAATTCAATTTAATAAAATCTACAAAAATGAGATGGTGTTTTTAATTGGCGAGGGTTGAATTTTACAAAATAAAAATAAGATGATATTTGCACAAAAAAAATAATGTCGTTCATAAAGAAATCAAACATTGAATAACTCATATAACAGTATAAGATTGCATATTTTTAACATATGTTGCTCAGATTCATAAAAATTACCCAATACTGTACAAACAAAACATAAACCACATGGATGCATATAAAAATATCTATTGTTTGTTCTTATTAAAAAAAGGTCAAAGTTTGTAATAATATGATTAAAAGCAATTTTAAATTTATTATATACCTTCTATCATTTTTATACTTGAATGTAAATCAAATACATTCTTCTTTTATTTGATACCATTTATTTATCTTTTTTATACTTATTTAATTACTTTGTTATTTATTTTTTTCTTGATTTTTACTCCTATATGATAATTTATTGTATAAATATACATTTTTAGTAAACAAGAATTTGCGGGCCAATTTAAGTTACTAATTCAAAATGCCAGTAATAATAATTAAATTTCAGATTTAGAGTTAATTTGATAACGTAATGCGTAATTTCATTTCTGTAGCTGAAATTTGAAGGCATTTTATTAGAATATTCGTGTCTTATTTAGTAAAAAATTTCATTTAGAGTAAGATATTAGCTGTACTGTATTCACTATCCCACCTCTGATTATGAACCAAATTGACAACGTATTTTCTTGATTATTACCACAATTCTCAATCGAATTCAGTTTCTGCCATTATAAATTGAGCCCATCATCGTACTCTCTCAACACAACCTGCGAAGATGATAATTGATACGAGAGTTTACAGTTCTTCTTCTTTTTTTCTATTGTTTGGCCGACCAACTGTTTGTGAAAATGCCCAACAGAAACTCTATAGGGATTGCCAGTCGAAAGCACCGGAAAATTAGAGATGGAGGCTCGGGGACTCGCCGGACGACGTCATCCGACACGTTTTCAACCATCATTCCAGCTAGAAGATCGGGATTCTCCCATGTCCCAGGTTGGTGACGGTAGACTTTGATAAAGTGTAATTTGTCATTTCCCAATCATAATTGTGGAGGGTTAATAATCACTTATTTTTTCGTGACCTCAGGTGACCTGTGTGAAGCTGAAGTAATACCCAACTCGGTTATAATGAGCCCAAGGGAAGTTGAGGATGTTCGGTTTGCCCTAAACCTTTCACCTCAAATTCCCTCCGGCCAAGAAGCTTGAATTCATGGAACCTTGCGATAATTCCCTGTAAAGCGTCACCCAACTAATCCATTTCTTTAAATTTTTGGTTTCCAATCACAATTTACATTGTCTTGAAAAATAATACCCCAAATGTATCTCAATAATCACAATAAGCTCTGAAGGTAGATAATGAAGTGCCCAAACTAAATAATTTACCTTTTATGTATAAACTGATTAATCTCTAGGTAGTTGCGTCGATTATGGCATAACTCCTAAATTAAAATATTTTTGGATCGTTAATAGCCACGACCCCTGTCGTCGCGAATTAATGGCCACCTGGCGGAATGTTTCCAATGAATCTATTTTACGGGGTTTCTAACGATATTACTATGCATAGATCCGTTTGCATTTCTCTCTATCTCTTTGTCGAAAAAAAGGAACTTATATTTCAGTTGTTCTGTTTAAGTTGCTTATTTTTTATTTTTTTTATTTTTGTTATTTCTGTCATTTTACAGGGTTTTTGACTTCTTTATTCCCTCAAAACTGTAATATTCAAACAGTTTGTGTGGGAGGATGAAGAATTGGAAGCCGCACGGTTTATTTTGGGAAATGCTCGAGTCCTTAAGAGGATGGATATACGTTTCCCATCCATTAGCACAACTCCCGAAACAAAATCTAATGCACTTGAATTTGTATAATTCAAGCTCGTGTTCACGTGGGATTATGTTTGGTTTTATTGTGGATGAAAAGGGTCAACAGTTGAAGAGAATAACTAAAGCCTAAAAAGAAAAGACTTTTTGGCTTTCTTAAATAGTCAAGTCCTTGGGAGTATGGATATATATTTGTCCATGTAATGATATCATTCCCGAAACAAAATCTTGTTCGATCGAGAAGACAATGATTTCGTCGAGAATCTACTAATTGATTATGTATTGGGGATTGTTCACTCTTGCAGGTGGGCTGATGCTTCTTTTCAGTTCAATGTTTATAATTTTTCAATTTATTTTTTTATTTTTTTCATTTAATATAGTGTTAGTTAGCTTATCATTTTGTCTCACTAACTTATGCCTACTGCCCTGTGTGTTAGGAAAAACAGCATTCTAGCTAGAAGATGGGGTTTTATGTGGGACAAATTTCCCCGTTTAGCCTTGAAGGTGAAGGTATTTGTTTGAACTTTGGCGCCTGGTTGTGTATTTTAGTTGATGGAATTGCTTCCTGATCAAAGTAAAATCTATTAGAATATCAGATATTTTTTTGTGAAACCTAAAATTGGTGCTGATAATTTTGTTATAGTGAAATTACTCGATGGTGCTGGTACCCATAAAGTTATTATTATCATTATCATCCATGAGGTTCTTTTTCGCAACAATCAATGACTTTACATCCTTCTTCACAGTATAATCTTGATTTACATGTCAAGAGTACAATATCGTATGATATATTTGCATGCGATCAAACATCACAATAATCTTTGAAGATCGTCCCATTTGTTCTCTGCATTCGATTATGCTCCTTACATCATCATTCACCTTTCTGTACAAAATAAATAATCTGGTGGTATATGCTTCGATTATGCCATCACTAGCAGCATTTGGATCGATATATTATCAAACAATATTTTGTTAAAATCTGTAGTTGTGTTGCAATTTTATCTTGCATGATAAATTTTTTGTTTACTTGCATACAACCATTAGGCTTAAAGTCGGGACCACTGCTCTGGGAACAGCGAGCTTCTCGGACGAAGATGATTTCAGCGAATACAAGCTTGACAAGTGGATCACAATGCTCGTCTGGCGCGACATCTGGGGACACATACTTTTTACTGCAAATACTTTTTACTGTATTATAGGTCTGCTAAATATTGATGGACAATAATATCTTTGAACAGCTCTCAGTTAAATGCAAATTATCTTGGCGCTTTCCACTTACATTTATTTCTAGCATTTAATAAAGAAATTATATAATCCGACATCGAAATTCAAATAAAAAACATTCATCCCTGAACTAATCTCCAAAAACGTGCTTAGTTCGTGGAAATTATAAAAACAAATTAGGATTAATCTGTAAATAATGAATTAGTAGAACTGATTTCGGGAAGCGAAAGTCTGCCCGAACTTCCATGAAGATGGAACTGCGTTGAGGAATTCGCGCGTGTTGCCGTCGACCAAAGTGATTCGAAACGACAGCGTTTGGCCATGGAAGTCGGACCGGGTCTGCCAGTTGGCGCCCCAGTTTCGGAGCATGGGGCTCCAGTTTCTGGATCTGGAGCCCCGGATCCAAGCAGTCCTGACGTCACCACTTCCGCCCACGTTGGTTATCATGATCATGTTGAAGTTGGGTTGACCCTTTAATGTGAATCGGATCCCACCTCTTCTTTTGCATGGCACTCTGTTAATCCAATCATTCAAAATATAAAAATTATTATTATTATTATTATTTGTTAAAATTCAACTATTTTTTTTTATTGAGATATTAATTGTAATTAATAATATACGAAACTACAGATAACGGGAGAATTATTCTGTCAATTACAAGACACAAAATCTTGATACTGATGAGCGAAGAATATACTTTGTTCTTTCTTTGGGAAGCATAGCCACAGAGACTAATGTGGTAGAACATGTTAAATATTTATATTTCTTAAGAACATTAAATTAAGTGATAATATTAGTAAATAGCCTTATAATTTTGTAAAAGATAAAATAGTCACTTTTTGTGAAAATATGAAATTATCACTATTTTGTCATGTGCCATGTTGCAATTACCCTTACTATCACAAACTATTTATAGACATTATGTCAAAATTACTATTATTTCATACTTACATAAAAAACGATTATATTTCATCTTTGCATTTATTACTTGTCTATAAAATCAAGTCACTGCTAAATTAACTAAAAAGAAGTAATAATAATAATAATAATAATAATAATAATAATAAAATAATAATAATAATAATTATTATTATTATTATTATATAATTTTGAGCCTTCAAGATCATCATCACCTCCTATACAGTACAGGTACAATGCCTTCATTTCCTCTTCTCGCGATGCGGAAGAACGCCGGAGCTGACATGTCAAAGTGGTGGCGGGGCGGGTCGCACCACCCGCCTTGGTGGTTAGACGGGCAAAAGTTGGTGGCGGTGACCGTGACGGTGCCCTGTCGGAGGCACCACCGCCGGTCGAGCCTCCGGTTGCACACCACTTGATAGCAGGCCCCACAAGCCTCGCCGCCTCTAAAAAGGGCGGCACTTAGGGCCGTCGTGTGGACTCCAAATCCGGCGTGGTAGCTGTTTTCGTAACCACAAGCTCCCCCTGTATTAAAAAATAAAAATAAAAATAAAATAAAAATAATAGGGTTATGTTGGTAACAATATTGTATGTTGTTTTTGACTTGAGAGTTATTTTTGGGTGATTGGATATAAATAAAATAGGGCTTGATTAGATTTAATGGTTAACTTGAGTTAATTTTTAATAAAATTGAGTGACTAGTGTAGGATTGAGTGAAAGTTTTGGGTAAAGATGATTGATTGATATTAATTAACTAATTAATTAATAATATCGATGATAGTTGGCTGAATTATATTTAAGTTGGAACCAGATATAATTAGTAGTCAATTATTTTAAAAAATAATATAATTGCATAAATATGTATTTTTATTAAAAACTTATGACATATCGACTCGTCTAACTGGTAGACGACTGTCTCACCACATAACTTAATGTGTTCTTACCAAGGGTGCTCGGATTTTGATTCCCGCCATAATAAGTCGCACGAGCGTTGATCCACCGACTACCCTGCCCATTGATGCCCTTCAAAACAACACAAATTATTATTGAAATAATTTTCCAAATAGAAAATTGTATACGTACACCCATAGTTACCATCACTCTATTCTTAATAACAAAATTATCTTATATTGATGAAAATCTAATAATGAGCTTAATTGGTGCAAAGAAAAGTAAAGCTTGGGCTTACATTTATAGAACCCTAGCTAGCCACTCTGTGACTGCATGATTTCGATCTCAACTATAGTCTATAGTACTAAAGTACGTACGCGTTTATGTCGGTGATTAATGTTGTCTGCTGAATATATATAGAAATCGTGTTTAATTGAGATAAAACGGTTTCCGGTTGTGTTGTAAGAAAAACCCGTTTTTTCACGTTGCTGTAAGTACGGAAATGGTACGTTCGAATCAATTTAGAGATTGTGATGATAATAATATTTTATACAAATTATATATTATTCTACTTTTTTAAGAGACAATGAGTTAGCAAGAGCATGTGAGGGTCACTTTTATTTTTATCTGCTTGGGAATTATTTGTCGGTGATCCATTCGTGAATTATTCAGAGTCTACAATCTATAATTATAATATAGAGAAATGCAGTTATGAAATCATTCCGTCAGGATTTGTAATCGTTGTGGATAGTTGATCTGGTTACAAATTTTGACAGAATGATTCCGTTACGGGACCGTATAATCTCCCCATAATATATACTGTATACACATTTAGGAATTGGATCGTGCCTTTTAGAAGACTAATAATAATAAATATGATTTTTATTTTAAGTGACTGAAGTTATTCTTTTTAATCTCTGTTGAATCTATTAGAAATTAAAGTCACAACTCACATAGTTTAGAAATCTAATTTCTAAAATAGAGGTGGACGGAAAATCGAGTCAAACCGTGCAATTTTGTGTGGTGCGCTGCGGTTATTATAATGTTGTTTTCGGTTTTCTTCGGTTTCGGTTATTATAATGTTCTTTGGTTGGATGAAAACTAAATAACTAATGTTTTTCTACTCCATGTGAGTGTTAAAAGTATACATTTTATATTAAAAATGATCATAATATTGTACATAGAGGTCGCTCACATTGAGTGAGACCAACCAAAAATAAAAAATAAAGTGGACTCTACTCCATGTGAGTGTTATGTACACCTCTATGTACATTTATCATGTACTTGCCGCATTTTCCATTCAAAAAGTATAGTTGTCTATACTATGATCAGCCTAAAGAAAGCAACACAGTGATGTAGATAATTTCCTGGACCCATTGACCATCAAATTTAATCACAAAGGGCACACAGATAATAACACACTTCAAAGTTAAAACCCCAACAAAATAAGTTAAAAAAGGCACAAACCAGAGTATAATTAACTTTCACAGTGATGACCTGAAATTGTTCCCAATAGAGTAGCAACTTTCATGCACAAGATTACCATAAACAGGATAATGAGCCTCATCCCATAATGGAATTAGGTATTTGTAGCATCACTCAAGCCAAAACTATACCACATATATGTATATATGTCTATACTCAGACCTCCCTTTTCAGCAGTCTCACAATCTATACAGTGTCTATACAAACAGACAAACAGCAGCACACAACCCTAAAACAGGATCAGGCACAAGATGAAGCAGCAGAACAGAAAGATAGAGACCCGATTAAGCGACTTGTCCACCTGCATTTCTTGCCTCCTCAGCCTCGGGCTACCATTCCCCGAAAAATGTCCATAGTTAGAGTACGAAGGATAAGCAAACAGATTCGTGTCCGGGCTCCTGAACATCCGAGCAAACACCAATTCGCCTACCATATTGATAGTCGGGCTGTAGAAGCTCATAGATGATGGGCCCACTTGGTAAGCCCGGTTAAGCGATTGAGAAGGGTTTTGGTGATTTTGATGGTTCAGATGATTTGTGGGAGCTAACACAGAATTCATCCCAAAGGCCTGGGGTCGATCGGGTACGGTCAAATCTAACTGGTTGGTTTTTTTAGTCTCGGGCTCGGATGTACCTCGGCCGTATAAGGGGACAAGAGTGGAAGTTGAGATGTGTGATTTACAAACGGGGCATTTAGGAAGCTCGTTCGACTCGATTGATGAATTTTGAACTCGGAGCCATTTGTAGATGCATGGCCAACAGTAGAGATGGCCGCAAAGTGTGACAACCGGGTCGTGAGATGAGTCGAGACAAATGTTGCAGTCGAAGCACCCGTTTGGATTGTCGATCGGCTGTGGGCTAGAATTCTGCATTTGTTTACGTGGGATGTTGTTACTCTCTGATCCATAATTCATGGTAAGGCCACTGAAGTTTTGATGAAAAGCCATGATGATATCTGCACGAGGAGAGAGAAACCGAGACGAAAAGTGTAAAAGCGCAATGAAAGAGAGAGGGGATATATTATGTTGAAAATGCACATTGGGAGACACTAAATATGTACATAATGATGCAAAGCATGGAAAGTGTGGATATTATAAAGGTTTTAGCAAAAAGAATTAGGGTGATAATGTGGCCAAGAAAAAGAATATTATCTTAAAGATCACATAATCAACATGTATCTAAACACCAATTGAAAGTTTGATAAAACAATGCTAGATGTAAAGTTAGATCATATTAGAGATTTGTCAACAGATAATTATTGCAGGTCAATGATACATTGAGTAGAGGGAAAATGTCAATTTCACAGGCTGGAAAGCTGGGTGATTTAATAGTGGGGAAAAAATTCAGTTTCCGTAAGAAAAGGAAAGGTTAATCATCGTGGGCGGCTCTAATGAACTAATATATGCACCTGGTCACTTTAACAAAGAAACAGAGGGATCAATAATTCCATAGTGAAAAACATGACACCATCATACGAATGATATTTACCAAGACAATAGCCTTCGATTATAAGAATCATAATTCAATCAAATTCAAGGAAGAAAGATTGGTGCTCTATATTGTAGCATGAAAACAAAAAAGGGTAGAATTCGGACTTTTTGTAAGATCCACTGTTAGAAAAGTAAAAAAGGGAAACATCGCCGAATACGGCATAAAATTCATCACTAAATCATTCTTCCAAGTTCCAATCCGCCGCCGCCACCACAATTGACTCAAAATGAAAGAAAGACAGAGAGAATGAAAACTTCAAATGAAACTGCTCAGCCAGCTCTCCATAGTTTCGGAGTGTTTTCCAACCTAAAACCGGGACTAAAGTCAAATATTCGGGATGCATACGAAAAAGAAAAATCCCACCCAACTAAAATATTCAACACAGAGAAACAACAAAGTTTCTATAGATGACACATATGATGATGTCTGATAACTATGTTTCGAACATATGATTCCAATATCTGTTCTATGTTCAGACCAAGAGAGCCAGGTGAAACTAAATTGGTACCAAGAAACCCACAACAGCCCAGTTGGGCTCAAATGAAGGATTTCCTTGAAGAAGGATAAAGCAGCTTGGGACTGCCATTAATTGTTATAATCGATCGCAAAAATATGATAAACCTTTTCAGCAAGCTAAAGGGAGGAATATACAAGATTGACAATTCCAGAAAAGAGCACCTAAACATTTATATACAAAATGGGGAACTCATAAACCCCACCTCAAAAATTCAAAATAACGAACCAAATCCATGTAAAATCAACCCTAAAATCAGAAGCGAATCGTACAAAAATTCTCACAATATATACAGCAAATGCTTTATATCCAGAACCAAACAACAAACAGATGTCCTTCACACCTCGTCAATGCAACCCTCGACGAACAAAATACGAAAATACCATATTTCTCATCATCAAATTCAAAACTTTCCATTTCCCATCTACTATACACAAGATCAACCTTCAAA